GTTTAGACCGCCTCGAATTTGGTTGTCTATTTTGAACGTGTTACGTGACAAGAGGCCTAATTTGAGTTTGTGAGTGATTAAAGGAACTTTTTTAAATTCCTTATTAATGAGCTTATTCACAATATGAATATGTCGCTCCATTAATTCATCACCAAAAAAAAAACAATTACATTAGGTATACTTAAACTTATTACATTATAAAGTTCTCATATCAGTAATTAATTACAGAAAGTTGAAGAAGATATGCATTCAGTTACAAAAAGTAAAATGAAAAGTTCTCAGATCAATCACATTGAGAAGTGAGTGAGCGATCCGAGAACTTCACCTTGTAAAGTTTGACTAATATTTTTATATCGTCAGAATGTGGCTTAGCTAAAATTATATTACAATCAGCGAAATCTTTTAAAATGTGGTGGCATTTATCAATACGAAAGGCAGCGTTGTGTCCACAATCCATCAAGACATGCATTAGGTCCTCTGGAACACCGCATTGATCACAGTTCGGTGACTGGACCTTTTTCATAAGGAATGCAAACTTTCTAGATGGAATGTGTCCACTGCGAAACCTCATTATAACTACTGCATCCTGTCGCGATAGCTTATGGTTATCACTCCATGGTATTTTAGGCTGTGGGTGTACCGTCTTGTACCAAATACCCTTTTCTTTTGAACGTAAATCGAAATATTCTTTCCATAGGTTGTAACATAGACTTTTTATAATACAAATACAATCAGTGTAACAGCACGTACAAGAACGAACACCGGGGCCCACTGTTGGAGTGCGCTTCTTGAGTCTGTCAATATCAAAATATTATCTTGTGGTAGTGATGCAGCGTATGACGGTGTTTCACATATTGCTACTAGCTCAGCCTCCATGATGCATATACTATCTTAAATTGTAAGCTAAGATTACACTGTGGGTCAAAAAAGGCTGCACCGATTCCGCCTGAATCTTTAGAGCCGTCTGTAAATATTTTATAATAATGATTTCTTATATTTACGCGAACACTACACATTGAAATAATACTAGTTTTTACGGATTTTATCGCGTATAACTATAAATACCCGACGTTTCGAGCGCTTTACAGCACCCATGGTCACGGGGAGGACTCATGGTCTCTATCTCATGGGTATTTATAGTTAAATATACGCGATAAAATCCGTAAAAACTAGTATTATTTCAATTTTATAATAATTTTCATACTGCCCATTAATGTAGTCTAAACATATTACTTTTAGACTAAAATTGTTGTAATTTCGTTTAGCTTGTGCAATATACGGAATATTTAAATCAACTATGTTATTTAAACCTATGTTTCTGACTCAAGTACTTATATTAAACATTTCTAATTTTTGACTACTCTGAATAGGGGTATCAACGAAGTGATCATAAACAGATAATAGTAAAGGTTTCTTTTTATTGTTTCTAAAGTGCTAATTCATTCAATATTATTAGTGTGATGATATTTCTTATTGATTTAGCTTTTAAGATGAATTTCCCTGCCAAAAAGGTTCCTCGTACATTTAGCGGAGGTAGACATAGCTCACTCTCCATTGTATGTATAGGAGTAGTTTTAATGAATCCTCCGATTACTCGTAATGCCTGATTTTGTATTTTGTCTAACTTACTTTAAAAACTTTTGACAGCTGTTATCGAATAAATAACTCCCATAATCTAGCCTACTTCTTATAACGGCAATATATAGTCTTCTTAAATGCTTGGGATGTATTCCCCAACCAGGTCCTACTAAAACTTTGAATATGTTTAAAAATCTAGAAATTTTGTTCGTTAACTCCGTAATATGTTTATTCCATTTCAAAGACCGGTATAGCCACATCCCTAAATACTTGACTGTGTTCACTACTTCTATTTTATTATCATTAACACTTACTGAAATAGCTTGCCTACATATACCTTTTTTTTAAATACAGATCTTTGTTTTAGTCATTGAAATCTCCAAACATAATTCTATGAGCAAACCATACATTTTATTTAAGGACAATTGTAATTCAATGGAAGTATCATTTAAATTTTTACCGGAAGTATATAACACATAATCATCAGCATACTGAGAAATACATACATTAGGATTAATTTGTTTACAAATATGAATAGTTGCAATATTAAATAGTAGTGGAGCGATAGGGTCACCCTGAGCAATTCCTCGACCTGTAGATCTAGATAAAATAACATTGTCCACCTGGACACTTAAGTATCGTTCCTTTAAGAAGGTCCATAAATATTTACAAACTTTTGAACCATCACCTAATCGATCCAAATTTACTAACGTAGCCGTAATATCTACGTTATTGTACGCATTCTCTACATCAATAAAGCAACCTATTGTGATTTGATCTTTTGAAAATCCCAATTGTATTCTACTGACTAAATTACTAAGATTATCCAGGCATGATTTTGTTTTCCTAAATCCAGTAGTCTCTTCGTAAAATAGATTTTCATTTTCCATCAACCATTCCAATCTATTTCTCAACATACCATGGAAGATTTTACTCAGGCAAGACACAAGTGAAATAGGTCGAAGCGATGATAAAGTTGAAGTGTGCCCTGTTTTTGGGATTGGTATAATACGTATTTCTCGCCATTGGAATGGTACAAAACTTAAGGAGTAAAATAAATGAAATAGTTTGAGTAAAATAATACATGCGTTTTTGGGAAGATGTTTGATCATGGAATAGGATATATTATCCACACCTGACGAAGTATCTTTTGTTTTAAAACAGCACGTTAGTTCGCTCATTGAAAAAGGAGTGTCAATTTCAGTGTTACGAGATGAAAAAGCAGGGTCTTTTAGATAAACAAAGTCTGGAGTCAAACAGTGTAAAAGCTCATTTGCAATTGTTAGATCAACATAACTCCTATTTGTATTAGAACACCCATAACCTTTTAACCACTTAATTTTTTGCCACATGCCGTGTACAGTAATAGACTCATCAATCGAAGAGCAAAAATTAGAGAAAGATTTTCTAGTTGCCTTTCTAATTAGCAGTTGTGAAATTCTAATTTTATCTTTTAATTTATCTAAGTTATCAAGAGTAGGGTTTTTCCTAAATAAAGCAAGAGCTGGGCGCCTTTCTGCAACAGATTTAGATAAGTCGGTATTCCAATATGTTGGCTGGTTCTGTAAAAAGGAATATGAGCATCAGCGGCTTCATTGACCATATTAAGAAATAAATCGTAATTTTTCGGCGGATCATTATTGATAAAAGCAAAACTTGAAAATTTATATTCTAAATAGGAGCTATATCCATCCCAATTTGCTTTCTTATAGTTTCTTTTCTTTAGAAATTGATGGTGACTATTGTGTAAATGATCACTACCCAATGACTCATTAGTTGCCTTCCAATCTAACTGCAACGCTAAATCCGAAGAAGCCATAGAAATGTCAAGGGATGACTCCTGTACTATTCCGTTTACTAATTTAGCTGTGCCATCATTCAAGGAAACAAAATTATTTTTAATTAAAGAGTCAAAAATATTCGTGCCTCTTAAATCAGCCTTACAAGACTAGCTTGGGTGATGCCCATTGAAGTCCCCAAGAATCAATGTTTTGTTAGTTTTAAAAGAAAATATTTCATCCCAGTCATTCTGAGAAGTTCGTATGGTAGGGGAAAATATATAGAGAGTATATAAACTATATGTGTACAGTTAAAAATCTTAATACAAATTATTTCAATTCCGGGATTAGAAATTTGGATAGATATCAGTCGAGTCTTTAAAGACTTGTGTGAACAAATAGCAACCCCACCATAAGAATCATCTCGGTCCTTGCGGTAAATATTGTAACCACTTATTTTAAGCATAACTAACATAATTTTAATTATTATTTTAGTTAAGTTCATTATTATAATTTTTGTAATATATTTTGAATTATAAACAAAAAAAAAGTAAAGCATAACTTCAGCATTCAACCATGTCTCACAAATGGCAGCAATATGAATTTTAAGCTATTTAACAGCTGATCGAATTCCGTGCGTTTGGGCCTAATACTTTGTGAGTTCCACTGAAAAATGTTTATGTTGTAATTACTATTCATTATTGACTAAAAAAGCTTTTAAAAGGCAAATCCCAAATGCACTGCCCCACCATCGGTACTAACCTTTCAATAATTAATGACATTCCTTGAATCATTTTGTTCTTAAGTTGTTCTTGTGAATTTGTAAATATAGCATATAACTTAAAAGTAACTGCCTAAAATTAAAAGTTGATTTAAGCTTCTCTCTTCTCTCTTTTTTCTCTTTTCTTGATTTTAGCTCACTTTCCATACCATCATCATTATTAAGCTATTACATAGCTTCTATCGCGGGCCTTGAGCGCGGGGACCGAATCCAGAAATTCCGTAACGAAAAAAAAACCTCACGCTCCCCACTCCGACGGGCACGGAGGTGTGGCGTTGAAAGCCGTGCATCGTCTAACGTCGTTTTAGTTCGGCAGACTTCGGCACTCGGCAGACTTCGGCACGGTGTTTGTGTGCGTGTACACTAGCTGCTAACTCAATGATAAAAATTCCTGAATAACCTACATGTATTCTAAGATATTAAAAATATTTTAAACAATATTAACTTCTCATTTATTCAATAAGAGAAAAAAATTGTTTTCTTATCGGTCACCACGCTCAAAAAGTGTAACTTGATTTAATATCAAAGACTTAACTGCATAAATAAAATAAATAAATAATTATAATTGCATAAGTTGATAAAAAATGCTATGCAATAGCTTTACCGCGGCAGTCACCGAGTGCCACACGTATTTTTTATTAATTACTTCTTCTGATTCTGTAGATATATCGTTTTCAAACACTTCATTCTGATTTTGCTTCTTTTTCCTTTTTCTCTTTGTACTTATAGTTTTTTCTTGTAAAGTTTGCGAAACCTCCATAGCACCCGATTGTGATGTTAATGGTATTGATTTAGTGTTAGAAGTAATTTCGTAAGTGTTTTACACCTATTAGCTCGCAATCACTTGAAATTACCTCCAGCATTTATTTTTCGGTCATCTCCAGCTCAATATCCTTAATAACACCGTATGAAAAAGCAACCTCTAATGGCTTTTGAAATCTCCATCCTAACTCCTTCAAAGGTGTAGAGTTCATCAGCTCATCAGCACTTTCTTCACATTCAAACTGCACAAATACTTTATACGCGTTCACATATTTCACACGGCTGATATGCATAACATTATTGGTTTTTAAAAGTTTTGCAAGTGCAAACTGTTTAGGTAATTTTTCGAAGCAATTAATATATACATCAACTTTCTGTCCCACTCTCTTCCCATTTCTTGAAACCGTAATCCACCTTTCTTCCTCATCCTCTTCTCTGCGTCTCTTACTACTAATAGGTCTAACCTCATCGTAAATCATTGCTTGACATTGAGCGGATTTCTCTGGTAAACAAATCTCCGTTTCCTGTTCATTGTTTTCAATTAGAATAGAATTCATCGCCTCCTCTTCTGAAATTTGATTTTCATCCATGGTGATCAGAGTACACCAATGAATGTCCTTCAATTAAAGCATGGCACACCACGCAGGCAGGCAGGAAATATATATTACAAAAATATATTATTTTAATTAAAATATTTAATTAAAATATTTAATTAAAATTTAAGATAGCTGTCACTTGTCACCTGTCACTGATTAAAGGAACTTCTATGCCGTTAATTGCATCGACGAGTTGTTAGTGCGTCGTTTGATAGCGTGATAAGGCTTTTACTTTGTCGGGAGAACGCTGAACTTTGTGCCTCGAGAAGAGACCGCGTTCGTTCTCGTGGTTATAGTTTCGTGCTAAGTGAACCTGGAACCTTGACCAACCGTCCTTAAGTTGTGCAGCGTGTTACTTGTTTTAATGTCGATTAACGTTGATTTGGTTGAATTTGAAGTTAATTAAATGTACAATAAAGTTGATAAAGTAAAATAGTGAAAATAGAATCAGAAGCTTTCAATTGTTGAACGCTCCCATGGAGGGATCTCACATTTGGAGAGAAGCAGTGCCTTTGGATCGGCAGTCCTGGATCAGCGGGGCTGTCAGGTCACACAGTGTACACACTACTACACACTACTTACATGCACACCACTTCCCACCTGACAGGTACCTCGTGGTCAACCCTACCTCTCCGCAAATCGGTAAGTGGTCCTTGCTTCTTTGTCAGCCGTTTTTGGAATTGTTATCCATAGGCTATTTGGAGGCCCTCCACTCTGTTACACGTCGAGTTAGATTACGATGGGCCCTAATTCAATCGACCTTTGTCGGGGTAACTCAGGGCCGTAACATTGCTGGTAGCAGAGCGTGGTTGATTGTTTACAATCACTCCCGGCCATAATAAGTAATAAAAATATTCTTTTCTTTTCTTTTTCCTTGTTCGTTAGCGGTGGGTAGAATTAGAAACCGCGCCCTTTAGGCTGCGCAAGCAGAAGTGTAGTTTAGGCTTAGGTACCGTCACGCGTCGGGTAAGGTGGATAATTATCGTTATCACATAATCGTGTAATTATCGTATTATCGTTATTGTATAATTATGGTAGATTAATTGCCGAAGGGTCAGTCGCCCCAGCGTGGCATCTTTGTTGATCGACTGTAGTGTGTACTTGTATTTGTAGTGTAATTTGTATTTAATTTGATAAATAATAATTTGTATTTGTAGTAATTTGTATTGAATTTAATTTGATTGTAATTTGTATTTAGTAGTGATGCCATCGCACTGCCAGGGCAATCACCTTGCCGTTTTGTGCCTGGGTGCGAATGACGCTTCCTCTTGGGGCTCTGTCGAGCCCTCAACCCCCACGGGCGGGGGCGCTAAGCCACGCCCTCTGTCGGGCGACACTCGTCGCTCCCCTGTCGGCCTCCGTGCCCCTAGTTTTGGAGGGGGTCCTAACTCGACCAGTCGGGGGGTCGTTCCCCCAGGGGCGGGGGGTCGTCACCCCCCTCAGCGTGTGGAGAGGAACTTCACAGCCACTCAGCGGTCAGCGAGACCCTTCTCACCCCCGTTGGCTGAGAGGCCGCGACTGGAGTACCACCCTCCCCCTTTGGTCTGTACCGGTACTACGGGGTTCCCGCAACCTAGAATTTGTCCCGAGCCTCAAGGCCGAGTTTCCCCGAAGCTCCCCAGGTCGGCCCGTTCGGTGAATTCCAACCACGGGTCATTGAGAGGCCGCCGGAATGCCGCTTTCGGGACCCCCGGTTCGAGTGCCGGTCCGATGGAGGCCGCTACAGCTAGGTAGCGGCCGCCCTAGCTCCCACCATGGCCGCCTCCTGATCCACTGAGCCGTCAACAGTCCAATTGTCAACCTGTTCAATAGTCGACGGCCTCAGTGAAGGTGTACAACCCGAGTGGCGATTGTGTAACGGTTCGCGCTCTATTGGATTCGGGTTCAAACGCGATGTGGCCTCCACTTGGTTGGTGGGGAGACTAGGGCTCACCTGGAGCTTTGAATGCTTAGAAAAAAAAAATTGCTTTGGTTTTTCCGCGAAATGTTTCGTAGTTGTAGCGGTTGTGAGTAAAAAGGGTGAATTTGATATACTCTTTGAATACGTGTACATATGTTTTTGTAAATATATTTGATCATTATGCTTGCTTTGTTGAAAAGAAAATTGAAATTGAGTAACCATTTGTGCCGAAGGAAATAAAAATTAATCCTCCTTTTGTTTTCACATTTTGTTGGCATTGTCGAAGATATTTATTTTGGAAAAAAGGGAAAATGGTTATCTTTTATGTTTATCGTTTTGCTTAATTTATCTGTTTTGATCAATGCGCATCGAACGTTACATTCAACGTTATATGTTGAAAGATTGTTAGTAGAGCTTACTATCAGAGTTTGTGACATTTAAATTTTTACGATGTAGCTCTTGAAACGTGTCCCTTTTGTTTTTTGTTTTTGTTCTTGTGTTTTTTTTCACTTGTGCTTTTATTATTGTGCTTCGGTTGCTGGTAACTCATGTTCAGAATGCTGCTATAATATAATGCGGCTTATTTGTAGCGGGCCGGCGCACCATTCGGAGCGTCATTTTTAAGAACATATTACCTTGTTATAAATTGAAAGCCACCATATCGCAGCCGATGATGAGTGACTTGCCACCCGACCGCGTCGGCGCCATCCGACCTTTGCTGACCACTTCCTCGTCAAGTCCTCCAACCTACGTAACGCGCGTTCACAAGGGGCCTATCTGCGTTTTAGTTTCGTCGAGTTGGATTACGATGGGCCCTAATTCGATTGACCTTTGTCGGGGTAACTCAGAGCTGTAACAGTTTCTTTGTTAGATTGCAAACAAAATTTTATCAAGCTTTCTATTTGCTATAATTGAATATAAATCTATAGTGCCTCAAAAACATAACCAGTAGATTTAACCCATGATACGAATACATACTACAATCAGTGGCGAAGCTTCCATTAAAGCCGAAAAGCCGTGCTTGCCTTCTTAAACATGAATCAATCAATAATATCAACTAATAAAATAACTCGTAAAATGTTTCAAGCTATTTCAAATTTACCGCGCACTCCACTGTTCGACACATGTCGACCGATGACCTCGTATTGCCTTAGCGATACTGCTGCTGTCATAAAAAATGAGTTTTAAAAGAGCTAATAGTTGTCTCCCTCGCTCGCGTGGGCTTTTTACGGGGCTTTCGAGAAGACGATCGCTCTTTTTTCTAACCTATGGCAAAATATTCTATAATGAAATATAACTACGATTGTATATATAGCAATTAGTATAGAGATTTAAAGCCAGGCTTTTGGGAATAAATTTGTTAAAAGCGGAGGCGCGCGGGCAATACGTTTGCAAGTTCATTTCACGTTTCAATGTTTATTTACTCTGTGTGCTTATCTTAAGCGATTTAATATTACGAGTTCAAAATTTATGCTTTTTTAAAGATTTTTAATAAAAATGGAGGTTAATTGTGTTCCATGTGATGAATTGAAGTGTGTTAAAGTGATAATCGGAGAGGAAATCTTTAAACTTTGTTGAAATAATACACAAGGTTAATACATAAGGTTAAGAGTGTATTTCAGACTTATCAATTATCGCAATTAAAAACAGTTATTGGTACAATTAAAAGGTTCACCAACATTTTACGTGGACGTAATTAAATCTTTCCATAAGAAAGCGAGACGATTCCACTTATCTTATCTTATCTCTTATCCATTAGAATGTAAATAATTTTTTTTTAATTTTGTACATAGTTTGTTTGTATTTTGTTCGTGTTTTACTTTTGTTCATGTATTGTATTGGATGTAAATATTTTTTTTTCTTTCGCTTAAACAAACCCAAACGGCTTTCTTCAAAGCCACCGAAGCTATGCAATTGCTGATATGTAATACAATCTATCTAGCAGCGGTATGCCTTCTGTGTGCTTTGTTAAACACGTCCTTGACAGCACTGAATATGAAACTGAAGCGTGGAGACAGATCAAGATTGGTGTATTTTTATAAAACTGCTAAAAACAACAATCTATATTTTTATCAATTTATATCTTGGGCTTGCCCTAGCTTGGAGCTCTAGCTTTGCCACTGCATATAATACATAAATAAATGTACTTTCAACAGTAAAATTATGAAAGAAATTATTTCCGTACAGTGGATATTTTAAGTACCACTTTAACGAATATTCGTTGATTTAGCAGAATATTCGGTCGAATACGAATATTCGGTAAAGCTGCCGAATATGTCGAATACCGAATTTATATTCGGTAACAAATATTCGGCCCATCTCTACTTTTTATAGTCTCAAATTAAAAAGAATTGTTTTACAAGTTTACTTTTAATATTTACTTCTCGAGGTACCTAACCACCCCAAAATTTCTACATTTTAAAATGTCGTCCAGATATTTTGGTTTATAGATCTGGTATTCCTACCGATAGATGTCATTTGTAAATACTTGCATAAAAATCCTCTAAACCGTTATAAGTAATTGTACTCAGTTTATATAAGATGTTCTTAGAGGAACTTGGTAGAAGCAAAAATATTTGTCATAAACAAGTGAAGTACAAGTTGTGATTGTTATACAAGCGCAAACACTGCAATGACAAGTAACAGCCCTCACGCCGTGGTTCTCACTTCTCCATCGTTACTCTCCGCGGAGCTGTCCGTTGCAGGACTTGATTGCGGTAAGGTAAGAGGTTACGCTACAGGTACCTACATATAAAATATTGATATGGCTATTTTTTAAATGTAGACCGAAGCAATTGAAATTTACCGGTATGTTACCGGTATAGAATACCGGTAACGCTATTTTAAGGACTATTGTTATACCTTTATACTCTTGTTGTACCTTTACATAACCGAAATTATTGTAGTGTTTGCTTATATGTACCTATATGTAGGATAGAATAAGAGAGAGTTAGTAATAAACCTACAGTCAAGACCACTGGACGTATTATCATTTATTCCCCGAATCTCCACACATTTCATGGCGACCCTGCCAGAATTGTATCGATTTCAAATTATATTATACATATCTCAAATCATATTATTACATATATAA